ATAATACATGTTAGCAGCTTCTATTGCAGATAGGAGTGAATTTATTAAAACAAAATGCTATTTTTATAAAATCAAAAAGTTGAAATATTACCAAATTCCACAGTTACTTAAAATTTAACTACAATATACTAACCAAATAATAGAATATAAAAGCAAGTACAGGGGCCGGGGATTTGGCTCAGTGGTTTCACTGCCTGCTGCACAAGCGCAAGGACCCAAGCTCGATCCCCGATACCAAAAAAAAAAACAAAATAAAAGCAAGTATAGAATAAAAATCCTTAAATATAAATTTAAGTACCAGGGTAGAGTCAAGCGAAACCAGCATACTCCTTCAGCACCCAGAATAGTAACTGACACTCAACTTTTGTTGAATAAATGAAGGGATCAACCAACCAATTGTTACCAGCCCTGCAAATTAGTTAACTTTTTAGACACTCCAATATAGGAATTATCAATAGTAGTTACCAGCCACAAACATCCAGTAATGATACTATTAACTGATCCTAATGCAGCAAAAAGAAAGAAAGAAAGAAAGAAAAGATCATGAAAAAAATCACTGCAATTGCAGTGCAAACAATCTATCAGCACCTAATACCAGGAAAACAGTCAAATACATTAGAGTGTATCAACCCAATGAAACTCAATAAAGCTTAAAAAAACGATAATGTTAGCACTCAGGAAGCTGAGGCAGGAGGATCACTGCAAGTTCCAGGCTAGACTAGGCTATACAATGAGTTCAAGGACAGCCTGAACTACACAGCGAGACCCTGACTCAAAAAAGTAAAAATAAAACAACAAAAACGGAACAAAACAAACAAAAAATAATAATGTTAATTTACATGTAACAATGCAAGATGAAGACACCAAGAAAAAAGAGATAAATAAAAGCTCAATCTGATTGCTACTGGATTGCAATTGATTGCAACTTCATCTGAAAGTTTAGCCAAAAACAAACCACAGCTGTGTTAGGATGATTTTTTTAAAATTGTCATTCATAGGGGCTGGGGATTTAGCTCAGTGGTTCCAGTGCCTGCCTCGCAAGCACAAGGTCCCAAGTTTGATCCCCAGTACCAAAAAAAAAAGGGGGGGGCTTGTAGCCTGGATGGACTATAATGGGACAGAAAGAAGGCAAGTTTGCTGCTTCTCTGCCTTCTGCCTGCCCTACCACACCAAGAACTATTTCTCCTCTGATACCCCTCTGCCATGCCACCCTGGCTTGGAACCAGCTGACTGTGGACTGAAACCCCTACAAACTGTGAGCTGAAATAAACTTTTCCTCTAACTCTGGGTTTCAACAATGAGAAAATAACTCAGAAAATGGCATATAAATCAACCGCCTACATATTTTCCTTGGTCAATTTAGGACTGTGCTTACTGGATTTGAACTACTAAAAGAATGACAACAAATATCAATCATCCCATACTTTACAACATTTTTTAAGTGTTTGTTTGGGGAAATGTAAACTAGTACAACCACTATGGAAATCAGTGTGCAAATTCCTCAAAAAACTATGATAGAGGCCTGGGGATTTAGCTCAGTGGTTTCGCCGCCTGCTGCACAGGCGCAAGGACCCGAGTTCGATCCCCAGTACCAAGAAAAAAAAAAAAATCTATGACAGAAATTCCATTTGACTCAGCTATACCCCTTCTAAGTATCTTCCCAAAAGAGTTAAAGAAATCATGTTACAGGGATACATGCATAACCATGTTTATAGTATAATTTATAATAGCTAAATCTTGGAAATGGCCTATATGTCCATCTACAGATGAATGGATAAAGTAAATGTGGTATTGATACACAATAGAGTACTGCTTGCCACAATAAACTCAGGTAAATGGATATAACTTAAGATTATAATGTTGAGTGAAATAAGTCAAATATACAAATTTAAGTATCTCTTGGTTTCTCTTATATGAGTAACTCAAAAAAAATATAAAGAGAAAAACAGAAGTTAGATAAAGAGGAAGAACTTAAATAAAGAGGAAGAATTGGGGAGAATTTTTTCAAATGGATGAAGGCACAAGAAATGGACAGGGAAGGGAAGGAGAGGGGGAAATTGTAAAAATAGGGCCTTTGCAAATGGAAAGGAGACCAACAGTTCCAAGGAGCAGGGAGGGAGGGAAAGGGTTAAGGGATGAAAAGCAGAGAGAGAAAAAAGATGTGTTAATATGTATTAGGTACGTGTACCAACTCCCCAAAATAACTGTAAGCATCGTATACTGCAAACATGTACTAATAAAAAAATAAATTTTTGTTAGTCCTTCTAGGTTCACAATTTGCCACAAACACAAACTAGTAAGTTTAACGACAGTAAACTCTGTGTCACTGTATAGGTACTGGCTTTCTAACTTTGTTCTTGTCCCTATACCCTCTTGGCTTCTCTGCTCCATTCTGTACTCATTCTTGTGACACTGTAACCTTCTTTGATCATAACCTACACTATAAACTACTATTGCAAATGGTATTTATTTCTCTTCCCATCCAGATTACAAAAGAAACACAATATTTACCCTAGAAAATTAGTCGACAATTAGAAATGCACAAAGAAAAAAAGTTTTTAATTACCTTCAATCCCAACACCCAGAAAACAAAAATACCATTAACACTTCCAGTTTAGCAGTCAGTGTTTCAAAATTGCCACCATGGGCTGGGGATTTAGCTCAGTGGTGCCGCCGCCTGCCTCGAAAGCGCAAGGTCCCTAGTTCGATCCCCGGTACCAAAAGAAAAAAAGTACTAATAACAAAATTGCCACCATACAGTGTACAGTTTTGTCATTCACTTTTTCTCTTAATCTAACATTTATTCTACCTCCCCATCTCCCAAAGAAAGACATTCAAATGAAAACAGTTTATTTGCAGAGGATAGAAACACCAACGAGGAAGTGAGAAAATTCAAGGTGACTATCAAGACTGCTACCACTATGGGTGACTGGAGCTTAATGTCATAAGAAAAATCTGGGGAACAGTGTAGAATATTTATTCAGAAAAGTCTGCCCAAAAGATGAAGAAGCAGGGGTAGTTGTACACCAGCTCCTGTCACTAATAGGCTGCCCAGCAGAGAGATTCCCTGACTTCAGAGAAAGTCCTCAGGCAGAAATGCTGATGGGAAGAATCATGCTTCACCCATTTCAAGTAGAAAGTAACAAAACCCAAAAACTGAGAAATAACAATGCCAGCATCTCCTATATCCCACATCTCCAAATATTCTGCTTCACTTAAGGTGTCACAAATTAAAGTGGCATTATAAAACACAACTAAGTTCTACTCTACATTTGACATTTGCAACCAAATATGCCTTATTCTCTGCTACCTGGGGAGAGTAACTGGAACCAATAAGGGCATACCAGAAAACTGAAGACAATCAAAGAAGAACAAAAACCATTATGTTGAACAACATGAAATGCTTTTTTAAAAACAGATAATAAGATGTTGAGTATCACCACACTGCATATGGTTCAATCATATATATATATGACTTCAATTTTTTGATATTTGGGTTCCATAACTACTATAGCACCTACTATTAGCAAGGTCTTTACTTCTACTTCTTTTTCTATTCTTCCTTTCCTTTGCTCATGGGAGTAACTCAGACACAAAAATACAAACTAATAACTACTCGTATACCGAAACACAACTTTTCAACCAGGCCAAGTATGAGTGAATGAATAAATGAAGCAAAATATGATTTACATAAAGAATACACATTTTTTTCTATTCTCTACAATTAAACTCAACTAAGAAAAAAGCAATTATTATCTCATTAAAATATATCAATTACAAAACCAAGACTATGATAAAAATAAACTGCCATGTATATAAAAAAATGTATAAGCTTAAGTTTTATGTGTAAAAATATGTTCACATTATAAGGAAAAGTATACAAATATAACAGACATTTATAGATAGCTTTAGCAATTATCAAAGAATTGAAAATGAAGACAAGGTAAATCTATGATCTTTACCTGCAAAAGGAGGTTTCAACACAGGACTGTCCTCCACCATTATACCTTCTTGTGTCTTGTGTCCTAGCCTTTGCTTGTGCTGTGGTATAAATTCTGTGGAATGGATGGAATTTATAGGATTCATTTCATTTAACTCCATACTCTGAATATCACCCATGTGTTCAGAAGAGCACAATAAATCTTCAGTATACTGCGCTGCTTTCATTAGGTCACTACCAGAGGGTATGTGCAAACTGGAGACAGGAAGCTTTAAAACAGCAGTGTTTGCCACTCCAAAACTCAAGGCACTTGACATGCCAAGGTCATCATCCTCGGGAATAGGATTGTACCATATTTCTCCTTCATCATCTGCATCATTGTCCTCATTAAAATCTAAAGAACAGTTTCTTGATAATGAAGAGCTTGTAGCATTACATACCATATATGTACAATATTCTTCAGATGATTTAAGAAAAGGCTGTGATAGCTGATGGTAAGATGGAGTCACAGATGAGATGGATAAATTGCTTCTATTTTGGTATTTTTTATTTTCTTCTTCCAGATTAAGAGCTCTCAGACTACTCTGATAGAGCCAGTTGCGTTTTTTTGAAACAGTGATGTTGTTAAGTGGCTTATGACCTCTGAATTCTACATTATCCTTCAGATCTTCAAGTTCTCTTTTCTTCATTGAAGACCCATAGACATCTTCAAATAATTCTGTTTCAAAGAAGAAAAGATAGACTATAACACCTGATACACCAAGAGAGTCATGTTACTTTTTAAATACTAAAAAATTTTTAAAGGATGAAGAAAAATAATATTAATCACATTAACCAACAAAATCTAACCTGAAAAAGCCTAGACTGTCCATCTAAACATGATTTCTATTATTTAGAAATTAGTCTACTAGTATAAGTGTCATAAAATTCTGAGAAAAAGGATATATACAGTTTGACATGTCTTTACAAAACCTAGTGTTAACAAAGCCTTGCCCTAAGCAAAATATACTTTATAAAACATTTATATAGAATGCACTGTACACAGTATACCTTTAATTAATATTTGAATAATTCTGACCTATTAAAAACACCAGAAGTCATTAAAAAACATAATAATTGTATCTTTACACACAAAGTTAAACTTTCAATAACCCAACAAAAAAGTATACTTGTTATTAAATTTCAACATAACATTGTTTTCCTAAATATATAGCAAAGTAGTATGTTATGCAGAGTTTGAGTCATAAATATCTTGGGCAAAAATAAAAATAAAAATCTCTTAAGGAGGCACAAATTAGAACTAAACACTCTCTCTCATAGTAAACACAACACAGCTATATTATTATTGGCCGAGGACAAACTTTAGCAACAGCGTAAACACTCAACAAAATAGTCTCTGCTATTAAATTCATAATTTGCTGGGGATTTAGCTCAGTGGTTCTGCTGCCTGCCTCACAAGCGCAAGGTCCCGAGTTCAATCCCTGGTACCAAAAAATAAGAAATTTGCAATTCAGTGGAAGACATCAGATACTTACATTTATATATATGTTACTATAATGTAACATTTCTGCCATCTGAAGAGGAAATTTTTGCTTTCAAGGAGTTGCATAAAACAGGATTCAGTGACAGTGAATAAGGTAAATATCTGTCCATCATAATAATTCACAGTATTAGGTAATTAAAATACAAACCAGTTTTCTGAAATCTAAGACTGTGTCAGGTATGTAAATTAGGGAGGTACAGTCTTACATTATTTTGAGTATGTATATATGGTTAACTAATGTTTGTGCTACAGCAAATAAAATATATTTTAATAGAGAGATAAACAAACTAAGCTATAAGGACCTTAGTAATACCCAAAAAATTATCAGTTACCTCCTTTTAACTAAGCAAAACAACCACAAATTGAGGTTCCAGTTTAATTAGTTCCAGATCCAAAAGTCAGACTAACAATCAGTAGGGAAGGAAGTACCCATGAATTTCTACTATGCCAGCCATTCATTCACTCAGCAAATGAGTCACAATTACAGTATATGCCAGGCAGGAGAGACAAAGCAGTAAAGGAAGCTCCTAGCCTCGTTTAACCTCTGCAACAATCCTATGAAATGAGTATGATTACTACAGCATGAGCTTCAGAGAATATGAGGAATATAATCAAGGCCCTAGTACAGTACCCAAAATGAAGCCTGTCTGATACAAAAACCCACACTCTTAATCCTCTTCCCACACCATACCACCCATGAACACTAGGAAAGCACACCACTGCCCCCAGCACTGAGGAGCAGAGCTGCCCCAGCACAGAGGAAGTGAACCTTCCAGACTGCCATACCACCATTCCCAGCACCTAGGAGGTGAGCCACGGGGGCAACAGCAGCATGCATTCCCCCTCACCCCCGCTGCCCGCTGAAATGAGAAGACACGTAAACAAGTCTCAAAACCAGACTTCCAGATCACCTACAGCAACCCCAAAGAGAAACGAGATGGAACAATCTGATACTCAACCACCTGGACTCCCTGAACTGGCAACAAAATAGGATCTGGAAAAAATGAAATCAGAAATTTCTCAG